TTTGATACTAATGGATTGTTTTACTTCGGGCATTTGCTGTCACACTGTCTGTGCCTTCTAGGATGGGAAGTCTCTTTTACACAAGACCATTGTATCCCATTGTCTTGAAACTCTGCAGATACTCAAGAAGTGTTGAGTGTGTTTTCAACAGATACATGAAATGAAAAAATCATGATTGTTGCCATCCTCTACCTGTCAGAGACCTGCCTGTGTTTTAGAATATTTGTACACTGTGAAGGTGTGTTGCTGTGACTGATGTAATAAAAAGCTGAATGGCCAATATCCAGGCAAGAGACACAGTTAGAACTTCTTTGCAAAAGGAAGAAGAGTATAATTGAGGCTCATAGGGTGCCAGCCAGACTCAAATGAGGCAGACTCACAAATGGGATCATTAATAGCCTCATGGTAGAACACATTTAAGAAACTGTGAGTTAATATAAGTTATAAGAGCTAATTAGAATCAAGCCTAAGCTAAAGGCCTAGATATCATAACTGATAATCTATTTCCATGTTTCATTTGGGAGTGATCAACACAATGAAGTTCGATTTACATATGAATCCAGATTTGGGGACATATTTACACATAAAAACTTTGAAAGCTTAAAATATGTTCAAACTTTCCATCTTAAAGTCAGACACAGCTTTCAAAAACCACAGTCTATCAGGCAGGTCATGTTGAGAGATGCACCCCCTGCAGCTGCCAGGGGGCTTGATCCAGAAGGTGCCATGTGCAGAGCTGCACAGCAGATTGAAAGCATGGGTCACATGGTCAGAAAATGTAGCAGGCACTTATAAAACACTCCAGACAAGAAAAACTTTGAACAGATAGAGTAAATATGCATATATACCCTCATAGAAAAATGTTTAAAAATAATAAGCAAAGTTTCCTTACTCTTTGGTAGGAGTGGATGGGGAATGGGCTGTGGGGAGGCTTGGAGGGGCATGAGGACAGGGCAAGGAGAACTGTGATTGGAACATAAAATAAAATTAAAATAAATAAATAAGAATATGAATAAAAAGAAAGGATAAATTAATATAAAAATAATAAGCTACAAAGAGATGAAAATACACTAGGTATTTGGATCTTTTATGATGCTTGGTTGACTTTCAATTTTTTAATGCCAATGTAAAAATAGATTCTGGGAGACATAGATTATGGAAATTGCTAAAGAAAGCCAACCTACATAATTTTTAAAGGTCTGAAAAATGTAAGTCAGGAAAATATGTTGCACTGAGGAAGAGGTTATGACTTTGTTTCCTCTGGAAACAAAAGTTATGGTTTTCACTCTGAGATACCATCTTACTGCTATCAGAATGGCTAAAATCAATGACACCAATGACAGTCTATGCTGGAGAAGGTGTGGAGAAAAAGAAACACTACTCCATTGCTAGTGGGAGTACAAACTTGTAAAACCACTTTGGAAATCAGTATGGCGGTTTCTCAGAAAAATGGGTATCAGTCTAACTCAAGATCCAGCAATTCCTGTCTTGGGCATATAGCCAAAGAATGCACATTCATATAATAAGGACATATGTTCACTATGTTCATAGCAGCGTTTTTTGTAATATCACAAAAAGATAAACATGGTATACACTCACTCATATATGATTATTAGACATAGAGCAAAGGATTACCAGTCTAACATCCACACTGCCAGTGGAGCTAGGAAATAAGGAGGTCCCCAAGAGAAGATTGCATAGTGCCTCAAAGAAGGGGAGGGGAACAAGAACCCCTGAGTGAAGTGGGAGCATGGGGGGGCAGAAGGAGGTGGGAAGGGAAGAGAGGGGGAAACAAGAAGACTGAGACAGGGGAGGAATAGAGGAGGGCAATAAAGGAGATGCCTTAATAGAGGGAGACAGTACTTTTATGGAGAGTGGTCTGGCACAGGCGAAGTGTTAGGGCAGCAACAGGGATGACCCCATTAAGAAGCCAGGCAGTGGTGGAGTAGATTCCATTGATGCCCTTCCCCTATGAGATTGATGTCTCCCTTGGTTACCATTCCTAGAGCCTTGATCCAGTAGCTGTTTGAAGCAGAAACAGGCACCCACAGCAAAGCACTAAACCATAATCCTGGAATCCAGTTGTGGAGAGGGAGGAGGGATGAGCAATGAAGCCAAGATGGTGCTGCAGAAACCAGAAGAAACAGTTGACCTGACCTACTGAGGGCATAGAGGCCATATTCATAAAGCTGGGGAGACACCATTGACTGAACCAAGCCTTCTGAAAGTGGGTTCCAGCTAGGAGGCTATTGAGTGCCCTCAATGATGATCCATTGGCTGTAATGCTAAGATTTCTTTATTCAGATAAACACCAGCCCAAGGCAAGCCAGAGCATGCCCAGACACTGCAAGCTAGAGTGGAGAGAGAGACAGAGAGAGAGACGGGAGAGAGAGAGAGAGAGAGAGAGAGAGAGAGAGAGAGAGAGAGAGACTAACTAGCATGCGATGTTGCAAACCCCATGCCAAGCATTTTACAGACCATGACCTCACAGGCGTGGCTAGGCACACCTGTAGGAGTACTAGGAGGAAGGGCTACTATGACTCCCTACAGGAGGCCAAGACAGTGTATGTGCCCTCTAACAGTGGAGCCATTCTTTATACCTAGAGCATAAATGGACATTGGACCCCATTCCCTATGGAGGGATACTAATGCAGCCCAGATACAGCAAAGAGGGCCTAGGCCCTGCCCTAAAAGATATGACAGACTTTGAAAGTCCCCTGTGGAGGGCCTCAATATCCCTGTGGAGGAGTTGGGGGATGGATTGGGGGGGCTCATGGGGACCATGGGAGCATGGGAGGGTGAGGGAATAGGGGATGGATATGTAAATATGAGTAGTAATTAAAGAATTTAAATTAAAATTTTTTAAAGTTATGATTTTCTTGATAATTAATGAAGATCAGAATTGATTGGGGTGACCACCTGAAAATATTGGTTACAAGCAATAATAAAACAAATAGAAAACTACAAGATGGGTGACATGCATGCTCATCCTTCTACCTAGAAACAGCTCTGAGAATGGATGAGGCCTGATATATCTTTTTGGGTACAGAGTCCTCATAACATATTTTTTATTTTCCATCCTATCATGCAGCATGGATAGAGGTTTGGTTATACAGCCCAATGGACTTATAAATTCAGCAGGTGCCTTTTACCTGCTCAAACATAGAACAAAATTCACCTTTAGCAGACTTGTACAAACTGCACATTCTATACTTGTGTCAAAGCAGATATATATGCTACCTTTAAAAGTTTCTGTGTTTTCATAAAGAAAGTACCAGACACCAATAAAGAGTATCTCAGATGGTCCAGCCTCTCAGAGAGATATTTTTACAGTTTCCTCTAACTTTTGCATGCAGAACAGCTTCAGAGTTGCTATCTGAGATGGCCCAGCCTCACAGACTCTCCAGCCAAAATTGAGATGAGCTCTACACAGACCCATCACAAGAGAATAAACAAAAATGATACAGCCAGCTCTTCCATGACTTGACCATCATCCCAGGTTTCTCAGCATCCTGTAGGGGATGCCTGTGCTCAGAGACAACAGGAGGCCATCTAGTGAACACAACACCCACATTCTTAAGAAGTGACGTGGGAATTTTTTGGTCATTCATTGAGTTATGGGTGTCAGTCATCATTTAGTAGGGTTGGTTACAAGTTGTTATTGTTCATTGACTGGAAAAAAGCTGAACAAAGAAGATTAAATTGAGGGGGTCTCATTATGAAGGGAAAATAGACAATATAATATAGAAATGATTGGATTGAAGGGTGGATTGTTGAGTCTACTTTTGAACTAAAATAAAACTTCTAGTGTCAAATATTTTACTTTGATATGGATATTTGTATACTAATACAAATATAAGAATATTTGTGATATGATATATATATATATATATTTCTGTTCTTGTTTAAGTTGTTGTACATCTGCACTTCATTTAATGATATAGTATATATATAAAGTTGTAGGCATGCTAAAAATTAATGAAAAGCCTTGGATATACTAATTGTATAAATTGGGGATATAAAAATAATCTAACAGAGCATAAAGACAGTTATTTATTTGTTGCCTTTTGGAAAGATGAAGAGGGCAGCGGAAGGAATTTTAAGGAATCTAAGGCAGAAAGTCAGGAAGCAAAAAAGTGAATTTGTTGCAAATAGGAATTTGACTACAGAGCAAACACTGAGTGGCAGACAGACAGTGACAGGGGATCTCATATTTGCAACCTCCAAATTCCCCTGAGAACTATGCTCTCAGCCATGAGTAAATTTCTAGAAACATGCCCACTCCGTGTTCTCGCCACAGAGAAGGAAATATGATAACCTGAGTTTTCATGACACAGAAGGAAATAAGAAAACCCATGTTCTTATCATAGAGAAGGAATTATGACAACTGCCGCGGGAAGGTCTGACCCTGCACAAAAACCTCATCAGGGAAGAGCCAGGTCCATCCCAGAGAGTGGGACAGACTGCGTTATTGTGTAGGAAGAACACTGTGTGTGGAGCCATTGCATTTCACTTTCATACTGAGGAGACATGCCTGTATATGCACACAGCATGCTCTGTTCACAGACACAGAGAGAACTAAGTGAAACATGGTGAACCCTTAAAAAGGGAAAGCTGCATCTGGAACTGCCACACTGTGTCACTTCCTGTAACTGACATCATTGTCTTTATGTCTCACATCTGCTCTGAGCACTGCCCAACTGCAGAGCCTGCAATAGCAGGAAGACATGCAAATGAGGCTTCTCTGTGCCCATGAAAACCAGCCCTGCCCTGACCCTGAAGTCTGGCAGAGGAGCCCAGCCCTGGATTCCCAGGTCCTCCCATTCTGTGATCAGCACTGAACAAGGGCCACTCAACATGGACTTGGGGTTTATTTGGTTTTTCCTTGTTTTACTATAAAAGGTAATTAGTGGATAGGAGATATTATGGGTTTTGTAGACATAGGAAAGTAAAAATAGCTTCTGTGTCAGTTTTCTGACCAGAATTTATTGTGTTTGCAGGTATGCAGCATGAGATGCAGCTGGTGGAGTCTGGAGGAGGGTTAGTGCAGCATGGGAAGTCCCAGAAACTCTCCTGTGCGGCCTCTGGATTCACATTCAGTTGCTATGCCATGAACTGGGTCTGCCAGGCTCCAGGGAAGGGGCTGGAGTGGGTCGCATATATTAATGGTGACAGTAGTTACATTTACTATGCTAACGCTGTTAAGGGCAGATTCACCATCTCCAGAGACAATTCCAAGAACTCCATGAATCTGCAAATGAACGACCTCAAGTCTGAGGACAAGCCATGTATTGCTGTGGAAGAGACACAGTGAGTGAATGCTACTGAGGCAAACGGGGCTGGGCAGTTCTGTGTCCTGACTGCCCCTCAATATCACAGTTGAGGATGTAGGAGAGTGAGAAGGCGACGGGGGAGACAGTGAGTAAGGAAACGGGACGGTTGGCATGGAGACAGGGAAG